CCATGTGTTAATTTCTTCTTTGATTTCCTGGTTGACCCATTCATTTTTCAGTGGCATTTTGTTTAATCTCCACATGTTGTTGTTTTTCCACATTTTTTCTTGTGGTTGACTTTAAGTTTCATAGTGTTGTAAACAGAACATATGCATGGTATGATCTCAGTCTTTTTGTACATGTTGAGACCTGATTTGTGACCTAGTATGAGATCTATTCTGGAGAATGTCCCTAGTGCATTTGAAAAGAATGTGTATTCTGCTGCTTTAGGGCGGAATGATCTGAATATATCTGTTAAATCCTTTCTGTTCCAGTGTGTCATTCAGAGTCATCGTTTCCTTGTTGATATTCTGGTAAGATGATCTGTCCATTGATGTAAGTGGGGTGTTAAAGTTCCCTACTATTACTATATTATTATCCACAAGTTTCTTTAATTTTGTTATTAATTGCTTTATATATTTGTGTGCTCACATGTTGGGGTATAAATATTTATAATTGTTAGATCTTCTTGTTGGATAAGCCCCTTTATTATGATATTGTGCCCTTGTTCATCTCTTGTTACAGTCTTTGATTTAAACTCAAGTTTCTCTGATGCAAGTATTGCTGCTCTGGCTTCCTTTTGATTTCCATTTGCATGATAATATTTTTCCATCCCCCAGTTTAAATGTTCAGGTATCTCTGGGTCTAAAAAGTCTTTTGTAGGCAACATACGGTAGAGTCTTTTTTCTTTCTTCTTTTTAAATCCATTCTGATACCTTTTGTCTTTTGATGGGAGCATTTAGTTCATTTACATTGAGAGTAATTATTGATAGATATGTATTTAGGGCCATTTTATTACTTGTTTGGTTGTTATTTGTGGAGATTTTCTCTTTTCTTTTGTCACTTACTGTTTTTCTTTCCACTCAAGTGTCCCCTTAATATTTCTTGAGGGCTGGTTTAGTGGTAATGAACTCTTTAAGTTTTTGTCTGGGAAGCTTTTTATCTCCTTCTATTCTGAATGATAGCCTTGCTGGATAGAATATTCTTGGCTGCAGATTTTTCCCATTCAGCACTTTAAACATATCATGTCACTCTCTTCTGGCTTGCCAGGTTTCTGTGGCGAGATCTGCAGCTAGCTTTATGGGTCTTCCTTTGTAAATTAGGGACTTTTTTTATGACTATATTTTGCAAATTTAATTGCAATATGTCTTGGTGTTGGCCTGCTTTTGTTGATTTTGATAAGAGTTCTCTATGTTTCCTGGATGTGGATGTCTGTTTCCTTCCCTGAATTAGGGAAGTTTTCAGCTGTTACTTCCTTAAATAAATTTTCTGCCCCTTTTCTCTCTCCTTTTTTGTGGGATTCCTGTAATATGAATGTTAATTACATTTGATGGAGTCACTGAGTTCCCTACATCTATTCTCATTATACATAATTCTTCTTTTCTTTCGTTCAGCTTCATTATTTTCCATAGTTCTGTGTTTTGTATCACTTATTCATTTCTCTGCTCTTCATCCTTGTGTTCTCTGTATCCAGTCTGTTTCAAATCTCAGTTATTACATTTTTCATTTCTGACTTACTGTTTTTTAACTGTTTTATCTCTGCCATAAGGGCCTCCCTGAAGTCTTCCATTTTTTTTTTTTTCCAAGCCCAGTGAGTATCCTATGATTGTTGCTTTAAATTCTCCATCAGGCATATTACCGGTATCTATTTTGATTAGATCTCCGGCTGTGACTTTTTCTTGTTTCCTTTGGGATGAATTGTTCCGTCATGGCATTTTGTCTAAGTCTGTCTTCTGTGAGTTAGAAAAGCCTGTTATATTTCTTGCTCCTGAGACTAATGGCTTTATGAAGAGGCCATACAGTGTCCAGAGCTTGGTGCTTCAGGGTATGTCTCTGGTGTGTGCTGCATGCACTCTGGTGCTGTGTGTTGGCTGCGCTATCATTCAGTTCAGTCATATGCAGATGCTCTTCTTGCCTGCAGTGGGTAGTGTTTGGGCCTTGGCTAGTGTGTGGTGAGTTTTAACTAGGTGCACTCTGGTCTGCTGCTTATTAAATGAGATATGATACTACTTTCACTAGAACTGAAGGCTTGCAGAACTTTCTGGTTGGGAGATGTGGTGTGTGCAGGGGTTTCAGTTGGGGGGTGGGGCGTGGGGAGAGAAATGACACCAGCCTATTCCTTTGTCCCCAGAGAGGGGGCTTCATGCTTGCTGCTCTTAGGGAAGGACACCCAGAAGAGCAAATTAATAATTTTTCTTCATGCATCCCAGGCATTTTTCAGATTGCTGTTTTCTTTTTGTCTCTGGGTTGCTTGCCTGCCAGTAGCATTACAGTGCACTTTGGGCACTATCTCAGCCAGCCCTGCTGACCTTTAAAACTCCAAACTTTAGAGATGTGGTGTGGGTGGGGGCCTGCATTGTTCTTCTGGTGGACCATCTTGCTGCACTGGGACTAATGCCGATTTGACTGAGAAGGGCACTTGAGTCAGAGGAAAGCGTTGTGGGACTTGGAGCAAGCAGGCTAGGCAGCCAATGTCCAGCTAAGCTTTCTTTAGTAGGCAGCTCCGTGCCTCCGCTGAGGGGCAGGGGAAGGAAATAGCATCCACTGGCTCTTTTGTCCTTGGAGAGGTGTCTCTGTAAATACCACCTCTCACAGATGTGCTCCAAGAAGAGTGAACAGTCTCCCCGCTGTGTGCCTTAGACATTCCTCAGATGGTGTCATCTGCCTCTGGGGTTGTTTGCCTTCTTTCTCTCTGGGAGTAGACAGTGCCCTCAGGGGGTCTATTCCAGCCAAGCCCACCAACCTTTAAAATTCCAGTCTTCAAGTCCTGCTGTTTGCAAGAACTCGTGAAAATCAGCCCTTCTTGTTTTCCCAGCCAGTAGCTTTGGGGAATTGTTCTCCTTGTGCCTCTCTCACCCACCGGGGCTCTATCTCCTCTGCAGCACCCATGATCCCTTTCTCTCCCAAGCTATTTCTCCGTATTTCCTACCTTCGTAGATGTGGCCTCTTTTCTCCCTCTAGTTGTGATGTCAGTCCTGAGGTTGATTTCTTGGGTAGTCAGAATGATTTGATAATTATCTAGTTGTGTTCAAAGGACGAGAAGAGCCTAGGATCCTCCTACTATGCCACCATGTTAGTCACCCCCCCCATTAATTTAATTTAAAAAAAATTCAAGTATAGGGGCTCCTGGGTGATTCATTTGGATAAGTATCCAACTCTTGATTTTGACTCAGGTCATGATCTTGACTTAGGTCACGATCTCAGGGTTGTGAGGTCAAGCCCCGCATCAGGTTCCATCCATTCTGGGTGTGAATCTTGCTTAAGATTCTCTCTCTCTCTCTGCCCCTCCCCTTCTTTAAAGAAAAAAATTCAAGTATAATTAAATAGTGTTTTATTAGTTTCAGATGTATAGTATAGTGATTCAGTAATTCTGTACATTACTTGGTGCTTATCACAATAAGTTTATTTTTAATCCCTTCACCTCTTTCACCCATCCCTGTACCTACCTTCCCTCTGGCAACCACCAGTTTGTTCTCTGTATTTTAAGTGTTTGGTTTTTTTCTTTCTGTCCTTTTTTTCTTTGTTCATTTGTTTGCTTTCTTAAATTCCACATGTGAATGAAATTATATGGTATTTGTCTTTCTCTGACTTATTTACTTACTACTTTAGCATTATATCCTTTATATCTTGTAGATCCATCCATGTTACTGCAAATGGCAAAATTCCATTCTTTTTTATTCCACTTACTTAGGTGCGAAATCTTTATCCATTCATCTCTTGGTGGACACCTGGGTTACTTCCATATCTTGGCTATTATAAATAATGCTGCAATGAACATATCTTTTAGTGTTTTTGTATTCTTTGAGTAAACACCCAGTAGTGGAATTACTCATATGGTAATTCTATTTATAATTCTACTCATAGCATATGGTAATTCTACCTTTAATTTTTTCAGGAACCTCTATACTGTTTTCCACAGTGGCTGCACTTGCTTGCATTTCTGCCAGCAATGCACGAGGGTTCCTTTTTTTCCTCATTTTCATCAACATTTGTTACTTCTTGTCCTGATTGTAGTTATTCTGACAGGTGTGAAGTGATGTCTCATTGTGCCTTTGAATTGTATTTCACTGTTAGCAGGTGCTTTTGAGCATCTTTTCATGTGCTTGTTGGCCATTTTTATGTCTTTGGAGAAATGTCTGTCCATGTCTTCTGCCCATTTTTAATTGCATTATTTGGGGTTTTTTTTTGGTGTTGAGTTGTATAAGTTACTTTTATATTTTGGATATTAACTCCCTCTTGGATATATCATTTGGATATATCTTTTCCCATTCGGTAGATTGCCTTTTTGTTTTGATGGTTTCCTTTGCTATGCAAAAGTCTTTAATTTTGGTGTAGTCCAAATAGTTTAATTTTGCATTTGTTTCCCTTGCCCAGAGGAGCCATATCTAGAAAAATGTTTTTATGGCTGATTTCAAAGAGATTACTGTCTATGTTTTCTTCTAGAAATTTTGGCTTCAGATCTCATATTTAGGTCTTTAATCCATTTTGAGTTTATTTTTGTGGATGGTGTATGAAAGTGGTCCAATTTCATTCTTTTGTATGTAGCTGTCCAGTTTTCCCAACATCATTGTTGAAGAGACTTCTTCCTATTTTATATTCTTGCCTCCTTTGTTGTAGATTAATTGGCCATGTAAATCATGGGTTTATTTCTGGGCTCTCTATTGTATTGCATAGATCAGTGTGTCTCTTTTTGTCCAGTACCATACTCTTTTGATTACTACAGCTATTTAGTATATCTTGAAATCTGAGACTGTGATACTCCAGTTTTATTCTTCTTTTTCAAGATTGATATTTGGTACACCCCCTGACTTTTGATCATAACAGTTTTTAATCATTATTTATTGTCAGTTGAATGATAGGATAATTTAATTGTATTATATCTAATTTAGCTTCAAAATAGTTTTGCTTTGTTATAAGGAATATGCCTAAGTGTTTAAAAATATACTTCCCACTATTTAATTCATTGTAGGTATGAATGAAAGTTCGTTTTTATCAAAACGTCCTTCTACTTCTGAAGTAAACAGCGTTAATCCAAAAAAGCCAAAGCCCAGTGATGGTATTTCTGGATTAAATTCTTCAGCTGTATTTCCTTCAGTTAAATCTCTTTCAGTGACATCTTCCCAGGCTGCATCATCAAAAGGTAAATGTGAAATGTGGCATATAAAAAAGAAATTATAGGGGCTCCTGGGTGTCTCAGTTGGTTAAGCATCTGACTCTTAATTTTGGCTTAGGTCATGATCTCAGGGCTGTGAGATTGAGCCACAATGGACTCCATTGTGGACATGGAGCCTGCTTAATATTCTCTGTCTTTCTCCCTTTGTCCTTCCCCCACTTAAAAAAAAGATTATTTATACATAAGTTTTAGAAGTTGTAGTAAATTTAGAAATTGTTATTAGTGGTTATTTAAGGTTATAAAGTGATGAATTTTGTATTATATGTGTTTTGAATTTATTTTAGGTACAAATACCTCTTCAAATCAATCTAAAAATGGAACACCTTTTCCGAGAGCTTGTCCAAAGTGCAATATTCATTTTAATCTTTTGGATCCTTTGAAAAATCACATGAAGGTAAAACTTTTTCAAAATTTAATTTTAAAAAGGTTTGCAAATCCCTAGAAATACTGATTGATTTATAGTAAATGTTTTGTGGGGATATTTAGGTAAAAAATCTTCTCCTAGTGGTGTTTCCATATAATTTAGGCAAAGATTTATATTCATAATGATTATTTTCATATAAGATTTTAAAATTTCCTCTGAATCATCAAATTTTAAGATTAAATTTATATGCATTATAATATATGCTTTTTACATTCTAATTTTAAATGAAAATAAGGTTTTTGGTATACTACAAATTTAAAAAAAAAACTTTTTTTCCATTTTATTTTATTTTATTTTATTTTATTTCTTTTTGGTGTTCCAAAATTCATTGTTTATGCACCACACCCAGTACTCCATGCAATACGTGCCCTCCATAGAACCCATCACCAGGCTCACTCTACCCTCCATGGCCCCCTCCAAAAACTCAGTTTGTTTCTCAGAGTCTACAGTCTCTCATGGTTTCTCTCCCCCTCCGATTTCCCCCATCTCACTTCTCCTCTCCATCTTCCAATGTCCTCTGTGTTATTCCTTATGCTCCACAAGTAAGTGAAACCATATGATAGTTGATTCTCTCTGCTTGACTTACTTCACTCAGCATAATCTCTTCCAGTCCCGTCCATGTTGATATAAAAGTTGGGTATTAATCCTTTCTGATGGAGGCATAATGCTCCACTGTATATATGGACCATATCTTCTTTATCCATTCATCCGTTGAAGGGCATCTTGGTTCTTTCCACAGTTTGGTGACTATGGCCATTGCTGCTATGAACATTGAGGTACAGATGGCCCTTCTTTTCACTATATCTGTATCTTTGGGGTAAATACCCAGTAGTGCAATTGCAGGGTCATAGAGTAGCTCTATTTTTAATTTTTTGAGGAATCTCCACACTGTTTTCTAAAGTGGCTGTACCAAATTATATTCCCACCAACAGTGTAAGAGGGTTCCCCTTTCTCCACATCCTCTCCAACACTTGTTTACTGTCTTATTAATTTTGATCATTCTAACTGGTGTAAGGTGGTATCTCAATGTGGTTTTGATTTGAATCTCCCTGATGGCTAATGATGATGAACATTTTTTCATGTGTCTGTTAGCCATTTGTATGTCTTCTTAGCATTCGTTCCTGATTAAAACGATTCAAAGTATAGTGGTAGAGGGAACTTCATAAAATCTTTCTATGAAAAACCCACTGCAAATATCATCCTCAGTAGAGAAAAGCTGACAGCCTTCCCTTTGAGATCAGGAACATGACAAGGATATCCACTCTCGCCACTGTTGTTCAACATAGTACTAGAAGTCCTAGCAACAGCAATCAGACAACAAAAAGAAATAAAAGGTATTCAAATTGGCGTGAAAAAGTCAAACTCTCTTTGCAGATGACATGATACTTTATATGGAAAACCCAAAAGACTCCACCCCCAAACTGCTAGAACTCATACACCAGTTCAGTAATGTGGTAGGATACAAAACCAATATACAGAGATCAGTTGCTTTCTTAAACAGTAACAATGAAAATATAGAAAGGGAAATTAGAGAATTGATTCCATTTACTATAGCACCAAGGACCATAAGATACCTAGGAATAAACGTAACCAAAGAGGTAAAGGATCTGTACTAGAGGAACTACAGAACACTCATGAAAGAAATTTAAGAAGACACAAAAAGATGGAAGAGCGTTCCATGCTTATGGGTTGGAAGAATAAACATTGTTTAAAATGTCTATACTGCCTAGAGCCGTCTATACATTCAGTGCCATCCTGATCAAAATTCTACCGGCATTTTTCAAAGAGCTGGATCAAACAATCCTAAAATTTGTATGGAACCAGAAGAGACCCTCGAATTGCTAAGGAAATGTTGAAAAAGAAAAACAAAACTGGGGGCATCACGTTGCCTGAGTTCAAGTTTTTCTACAAAGCTGTGGTCACCAAGACAGCATGGCACTGGCACAAAAACAGACACATAGACCAGTGGAACAGAGTAGAGAGCCCAGATATGGACCCTGAACTCTAATGGTCAAATAATCTTCAAAGCAGGAAAAAATATACAGTATAATCAAAGAACAATAAATTAATAAATTATTAAATTATAAAATGAAAGAAAAGACATTCTTTTCAATAAATGGTGCCGGGAAAATTGGACAGTTATGTATAGAAGAATGAAACGCGACCATCCTCTGATACCATACACAAAGATAAACTTGAAATGGATATAAGACCTCAAAGTGAGGCAGGAATCTATCAAAATCCTAGAGGTGAACATGGGCAGTAACCTCTTCGACATTGGCCACGGCAGTTTCTTATATGTCTTCAAAGGCAAAGGAAACAAAAGTGAAAATGAACTTTTGGGACTTCATCAAGATCAAAAGCTTCTGAACAGCAAAGGAAACAGTCAACAAAACAGAGGCGGCAACCCACGGAATGGGAGAAGATATTTGCAAATGACACTACAGACAAAGGGCTGATAGCCAAGATCTATAAAGATCTCCTCAAGCTCAACACTCAAAAAACAGATACTAATGTCAAAAAATGGGCAGAAGACATGAACAAACACTTCTCCAAAGAAGACATAAAAAAAGACATTTTTACATAGTTTCTTCAGTTATCTTATTTTTGTTTCTATGGTAATATGTGCATGTCACATTATACAATGAAAATCTAAATTTTACATTTAATTTTCAACAGTCAGACTTAAGTCCCAAATGATGGAGCATTTCATATGAAATAATTATTTTAACTCCATTCAGAATGTAGTTTGTGTGATTGTCCTTAATTAATTCAGGTTTTTTTGTTGGAGTAGTAAGCTCTCGAAATTAAATTTTAAGAAATTTTCAGGGGCACCTGGGTGGCTCAGTTGGTTAAACAGTTGACTCTTGATTTCGGGCTTAGGTCCTGATCTGAGGGTCATGAGATCCAGTGTGGTGTTGAGCCCAGGTTTGGGCTCCAGGCTGGGTGAGGAGCTGGCTTAAGAGTTTCTCCCCATCTTCTTCTGCCGCACCCACTAAGAAAAAAAAAAAAAAGAAAAGAAATTTTCAAAGTACAAATGAAATATGGGGTGTAGGTAACATTTTACTTGAAATATTTTAGTGTGTATTAACAGTATCCCACTATGGTCTGAGGATAGCCTATATTCTCTTTGTATGCATAGTATAAATGGCAGGAAGGGGGAAAGAGGAAGAAAAAGGTCCAGGTAGATTATATGAAGAAAGAAAGGAAGGAGGGGTGGCTTTGTGGCTTAGAACAGCATGGAGTCTGCTTGGGACTCTCTCTCCCTCTTCCTCTGCCTCCCTCCCAGCCTCCACACTCACTTTCTGTCTCTCTCTCAAATAAATAAATAAATAAATCTTTAAACAAATACAACATTTGACAGAAAAAGTAGAAAAAATAAGGGAACGTTTTTAGAATTTCAAATACCATCTCTTTATTCATATACAAACCTGTATTTGGTCTATCACTACTCAGCTCCCAGAATACAGTCTCTGATAATTGCACTTGTGTTTTCTTCTTATATGAGAATTAACCTGTACAAGTGCCTGATTTTTTTTTTTTTTATGTTTTGAATTTGGGAAAAAAAGGGTTAAATTTCTTTAATTAACTTTTAATTATTTGAGTAGGTAATACAGTGATATTATTCAAAATAAGAAGTTTACAAAATCACACAAGTGAAAAATCGTAATTGTGTCTCTTATTTACCTGGTTGCCAGAATGGCTCTCAAAGAATTTTTATTAGTTGGTTTTTGTATTTTCCCCAGTTTTCTTTTTGCATATACAGGTAAAAGGAAATGTTCTTATTTCCTTTCTGTTTTGTATATAGTTTATTACATGTACTTCAGTACTAGGGAAACTCCTAGCCATTTTCCAAAATGCAGCTTTACATCCAAAATGTATTATTACATTGTTTGGGATTAGTCATATTAGAAACAACCAAAATTTCATACAATATTCATGTAATAGAGCAACACTACACAGCCTTTCAAAGAATGGAATCTCTATAATAGGTAATGATATGGAAAGATCTCTAAGATATATTTTTGAACTAAGTTAAATATGTGAATAACTTACGTGTGTTTATGTCATAAAGAGTTGTGATGGAATAGGACAAGGAAGTTAAAAACTGTGTAGATTCTTTGCATTCTAGTTTATGCATTTTATATATCAGTTGAAGTTTTAGTATTATAACAATGATTTCCATTTTTGAAAAATGTGATTTTTAGATTCTTTGTGATTTTTTGCTGTTATTCAAGATAAGTAGATTACTATACCAAGAAATAATGTTTCCTTTCAATAAAGAATATCTAAAACATAAAGCAAAATCCTAATAATAAGAGCAATTTATCTGAGACCATGTGCCAGACTACTAAACTTTAAATATAGTATCTTATTTAATCCTTAGAAAATTCTTTGAGATTGACATAATTCTCATTGTTTTATAGCCAGTTTATTTAAAGACATAACTGGCATTCACACTTTTAATGGTAAAAACCCAAGTTCTAACAAATTTTTCCTTTTTTAGCGTATAGGTTATTTGATGTTCATGGAAACTTGAAAATAGGTAAATAAGTTATAGAATTTGATATTTATCAATCAGATCTAGCATATTAATTACATTATTTAGATATTTGTATTTTTATTTATTTTGTTGTCTGCTTGATCTTACACGGATTGAGCAACACCATATATCAGTCTACATCTTTCATTACTAATATTTTCTTGGATATACTGCAGTTCTAAGATTGTTGTTGTTTTTGACATAGATGAATCTCATAATTGTATTGAAAATACATCCTTTAACATTTTTATAAAGTGTTCTTTTTGTCTCAGTGTTTAATGACTTTTAGGCTTACAACCCGTGGTTTCTTATGGTTTCCATTTGTCTGGTATATTATTTGTGTGTCTTTTTCTTTACCCTTTTAAATCATGTTATGCCCCTTAGTTTCAGTAGAGTTGATTTTTCCTTTGTGATCCTATATGAAAAT